TTTTTTAAGAGGGGTGTGCAAGCGCGTACGAAAACAAAGGACACGCACTTTGTATCATCTTACACGATACGTATCATTCTGGATCGGCCTATTTATAGTGACCCGCGATGGCTAGCGATAAAGCGGCGACCCACGTAACGTTATTTTGATTGTGTCATTAGTCAATGAACGAGACGCGACGTTCAATCCCTGTTACGTCGTATCGCGTCGTGTTGTGTCATGTCGTGTCGCCTTGTCGTTTCTAATTTTGTCCAATTATCGTGTCCGACAGATTTTTCAAAGCTACGTGTCCGACGATCGTCTACTTGTGACAAATAGCACGATGACACTTGAATAAATACTACGGGGATGGTATAACCGGAAAAGAGGCGATTCTACATGAAAAAAAAAAATAAATAAATAAATAAATAAATAAATGGAAAGTAAAGAATAAAATTTTGTTCGTTTTTAAGGGCTCCGTTTTATACTTGAATTTAGCCAATTCTAGCCTTGAACGACAAGAACAATTGAAAGGAAGTTATTCTACGTGCAAGAATAAGTGAAAAGTGCGGAATAAAATTTTTTCGTAAGATGCTTTGCTTTCGGAGAAAATCGAGCTTGAAGATCTGTCAAGCAGAAGCAAGCAGTGCAATTTTCGACGAAAACATGTGCAAAGTTTATTTTCTAGAAGCTTCAAAGTTGTTCCATATCTTTGTAGAATGTAGAACAATCGCCTGTAGATTATTCATTTCTGTCCAGTCCAGGAATAACTAGATTAACAAAACTCGATTTTCTCAAAAACGAATATAAGTGAGGGAATTTTATTCTTCTTTCTCGAACTTATTTTTTTTCTTTTTTCGCGCAAAATCATGTCCTTTAAGATCGAAAACACTCTGTAAGTTGTAGGATTGTAATATTGCAAAGATAACAGAAAAATATGTTTGTTTTAACTTACAATTATAAAAATTATAAAGCCTTTCGTTTTCATTAATAACATAATATAATATAAACATAATAACATAATATAAATGGTAACAAGTATAAACCGATTGAATCGAGAGTTTACGAATAACACATGAATTCAGAATGTCCGAGATTGAATTCAGACTATTTTAGTTCGCGCATGATTTTAATAAAAACGTCTGAAAGCTTTCCAATCGAGAAATAACTAATTTACTTTGCTTGAAATGTAATATTGCATAAATGTTAAAAAAATTATGAAAAAAAGGCAAGATTCCTTTTGTTATATGACCATGTTAACGTAGTTTGAAAGCTACTTTGCACAAATGGTGCTTTCATTTATAAATATACACTTCTCAAGCAGATTGACGTAACCTAGCAATCATGAATGAAACATACAAAGTCATTTTGCAACAGCGCGTTCCAGTGAAATGTTCATTATATTGATTGAAGAATAGGTACGCTAGTTATTCATTAATCCTTTTTTGTTTGTTCCAGTTTGCAATTCTAAATTTACTAATTTCAACTGACATCGATCTCAAATAACAATTTAGGACACATTAATTTCTACAATGACTAATCTACTAATTACAGATTCATAAATTGCACGTATTGAAATGATTATATCAAATAGCGAAGAGTACAATGTATGAAGACTGTCGTTGCAAACCATGATCAATCAATTTTATTAATTTTCTGATGTTTGTAGGAAGGAAGTGAGTAATTTAATCCACTAGAGACTATGCGACAGAGGTAATGGCAAATAATGATGAAAAGGTTGAAATAAAATTTTAAAATCTGTTGATTGAGAAATTGAGAAATTTGATAATATGAGGGCGTTAACATACTAATGTTGTTAAAGATTATTGAAGGAGGGATGAATTTCTTACATTAACATAAGATTTATTGTTAGTCAAAAAGAGAAGTAAAATTTCTCAAATCCAAAGGTATCTAGAATTTTTCAATTATTTCTTTAAAAAGAAGTGAAAAATCAGATATTTTGTGTTTTCTATTTCTATGATGCCCGTTGCATAGTATGAAACTACGGTTTCATAAAACGTATTTATTGTAAAGAGTTTGTAGCTGACCCTACTGTGTAATCTTCCACTATTACAAAGGGGCGTCCTGTGCAGACTATCGTCAACGGGCGTGTTAATGATAAAATAATGATACTGTCACAAGCAGACGCGGGACAATATAATCATTACGAAAAGAAACTACGTACTCAACGACCGTAAAGTAATTGCCAGTGATAACGAGTTGTCTGTATAAACGATAATTTCGAGGTTTCTAGAATGAAAAATATTTATCGACCACGCGATAAAATTTATTACATATATATATATCGGTAATTTACATTGACACGTAGATATTTATGTACCTTTCCTTTGTAACATAATATTTGGTAATGCTTTGCAATCACTTGACAATAAAGGAAAGAAGGATTCTAGATAAGGATGCAGTTGCATAACAAAGATTACAATACTGATGTATCTAATTGTAAAACAAACAACTTCAGTGCATATAATCTAACTCAAATGTAATTCAATCTTTATCAGAACTAAAAAATGAGGATTTATTTGCATATTTCGGTACTCTGCGAGTAATTAAACTGCGAGTAATAAAAACATTATTATATGTGCATACGTTAGTCAGTGCTTTAAAGGGAGATTAAAACAACCTTACATAAATTATAATTAATAAATAAATGAGCAAATATATAAATCAAATAAATTTACGCACATTTACCACTGTCTACCACGATCTCTCGTAAGATCTCTGAACACACCACGCAATAAAATCTAACTGAGAGTCTTATAATTGTAACTTACACGTTTAGATTTTAATTTCTCATAAAAATTGAGAATTTAGAACTCCTTCATCCCTTTAAATCGTCTGATTTCTTTTCAGCGTACTTGATTCTCGAATCAACAATCTATCTTACTAGACACAGCAAAGATGTTCAATCTTCTTCAACAAAATGAATCTTCTCGTCACTAAACAATTCGATGGAGATACGTAATTGTGAAACGTTGATTCATGCCATTAAGTATGCGTGTTTCATGTGACCTGAGTGATTCAGACACCGTGCGTACCAGATGTAGTATATATATATATATATATATATGTACGTGCATGTTCGAAATGATTGCACGGTCTGAATCTCTTTTCCATCTTCTTCCCCATCCCGTTTTCCTTTTGCAGGAATAACGCGACGAAGGATGTAAGAACGATCAAGAACCGTTTCCCGATCATTTAATCATCATCGACCTCGTGAAAGAGACTCTGAAACGGTTTTCCACGATGGAAACCGTTACACGAGAAATTTATTCACGCGGTGTTATCTGTTTTGGGCACGTAGTTCGCATCCCGTTGCACGATTTCATTTTATTATCTAACTGCGTCGATGTGTATGTATGTATGTACTCCGAGAGATGCGTTTGCACTGACAGTGACGTATTAATGATCGTTCAGCGCGTTGTCGACCAACTACAAATTGGTCAAAGTAAATTTAATTGAGAGAGATGGCTCGGGCAATCGGGCTTCGAAATCTTCGAAAAAAACTCGACAGATGGAGAATTGCTCGGAACTTTAGATCCGTGAGGAGAAACTAATGGAGCAGTTGAATTGAACTTGTAACAATTTGAAAATTTGTTTGTTTCTTGGAGATATTATTTTGCAAAAACAACGTAAAGAAATTAGAATAAGAAGATGTACTGTAAGACTTATTGCAATTATATTTTAAATATAAGATCACAGGGAACAATGTATGATTATCTTTGAATATTTTTAAAACAATCATCTCTGATTCCACATTACGAAGATTGTACAAAATATATATTAATTAAAACTAAAATTAAGAGTTAAGAATAAATTCCTCTCTATTTCTTTCTTTAACGTTCAGAATTTACGAACGTGAATTTCAAATAAAAAATATGAAAAATATAAAAAATATGAAGAATTGGATTACTTACTAAGATTTAAAGATCAACATTAATTACATTGACGTTATTAAATGTGATATATTTGACAAGTATTGTAATTAATTTTTTATAAATTATACGTTATTAATATTTTTTACAGAATATAAATGTATTTATTTATAAATATTTAATGCAAAGGATAACTCTTAATCATATCAAAATATTCACGTTTCAAAATTAGAACGTTGAATTATTACTGTTATCAGTAAGATAATATTAACAAAGTTAACGTTTCATTTTTATAAAGATGATCTGACGACAATGATTTTCTAAACTTAAAAGTAACTGCTTACTAATCTCCAATGAGTCATTATCCTTCGAGAAACATCAACGCGCATAAATAAATAGCGTTGGAAATCAACATAATTCATTCTACATATTTTCTAATTTATTCGTTGAGTAATTTTACAAAAATTCATTCGATGAAGGAAATGCGCCTGTTTGTAGTATTCATTACGCAACACAGAATTCATTGCTATGCTCACTAACGGTAAAAACGGTTGCATTATTCCATATTGTATGAACCTGTACAGCTACTTCACGAGTGAAATAAAAACCAAATAAATCTGTCTTTAGAGCTCCATTGATCATCACAATTTTTGTTCACAAATCTAAACGCTTGTCAAATGTTGAAACTTCGAGTATTAATGAATATTTTGATCAATTCAGATTAATTCGTTGTCGCGGAAAAATTATGGTAACGAACGTATTTAATCAACAACGTATTAAATCGACTGGAATTTTAATTTTCGACACTTGATCGCACGATCTACTTTGAAAATTGATTCAACGGATCTATTAATCAATTCAATATTAATGGCGATATATGCAGCTAATTGGATACGCGTCTCTCATCCAGTATGCATGAGCGATTAAACCGCGATCCAATACGGAAGAGGAGTTAACGCGTAGCTATAGTAATGGTGGCATTAACCTGAGCGCGGCGTGCGAAGAAATTACAAAGTTAAAGGTACTCTCTCCTCTCTCTGTGCGACGGTGGTTGGCTCGACTCGGGGCGACACGGTGAAAGAAACAAGGAGAATGAAACAAAAAAAAAAAAAAAAAAAGAAGGCGTACCTGGCTGAGAACGGAGCTGCTCAGCTGAGACTTGACAAGAAGGGATTTAAACACTTCTCGTTCCACGTTTCCGCTCGTGGGTGAGCAGATCTTCTCGTAGACTTCTCTGTAGAATGCCGGTATGCAGCCTGGTTTGATGCCGCGGCAAGAACCAAAATTAAAAAACATCACACTTCGCGGGAAATTTCACTTTTTCATCGGGGAAAAAATATGTATTACAACGCGCCGGGGCCCCGACATATGTACTACGACAGCTGGGAAAAAACCTCGAGGATTTATGTAAATGAGAACTGTTATTGCGTAAACGTGTGTTAACCTTAGATAGTAAATGTAGCAACTGATAATCAGCGTTCGATTTTAATAATAAATCCGTCTAGCTTACACGTGCCTGTGTATATCTTTTATTTCTACAACCGAATGCGATCATTTATCACCTGTGTTTCGTCGGTATTCTAAAAAATACTAAGAACGCATTCGACGTGTCACGTTTGCGACACGATTGAGTATAAATAACGGAACGTTTAATTCATAAAGAGCGAGTAACAAATTGTACGAAACGAGAGGCAACGCGTAAATACTGATGTTATTATGAGAAACAGAACGAGGTATGGTGTTAGTGGCGCCCGGCAACGTTAAAAGGAATACACGCTGGTCTTAAAAACCGGACGACCTCGGGAAGACCTTGTCAAAGGTGCGTACGGTACACGGGTTCATCATTTACCGAACGACAGATCGGTCGACGCCATATTGGATCACTTGTAGATCATCCGGGATCCTGCGAGATGGTTGCACCGCGGCTTTTCGAAAATACAGTCACGTCCCACGGATCGCCTTTTGCTGTTTCTATCTGCACTCGCGTTCCGTATTTTGATAGAGTGACAATACGACCTGTCGGCGGGGTACTAACAACGACACAGAAACACCAACAACATACGCCATTGCCGTGTGGCGCAAAACTGAGGCGCACCACCGTTTTCACTGACCGGGCCGCTCTTATTTCTCCCGCCGCGCATGCGCCCTCTCACAACGTCCTACTTACACTATCGACTGTACACGCGGGAAATTCGATTTGAAGTTTCGCGTTTCAAAGTAACACTGGTATGAGATATTATCTGTTAAATATTATATCTGTATGTAAATTACTATATTATTATGTTATTAAATACTTTGTGAAATACATATGCGTCGAATACTTATGTAAAAATATATGCAGTAGCTCCGTGTAACTGAATGAATAAACTTAAGTAAATTGAATATTCGTGTGAACAGAAACTCATAAGTAAGTGGTGATAATCAGTGAATTTCTGTTATGTAACTGTAATTATACAAATTTTTATAATCGTTATAAATGAAGCATTTTATTGCAATATAATACATCATGCGTATATCGTTTTAATTTTTTAAAAATATTGTTTTTTTACTTTAAATATATGTTTCTTTCTCCTGAAGTGAATACTAGTATTTCTGGTCCTCACGTTTTATTATAACTATCATTTGTCTTATCTAAAATACTCTATAATAAGTCCTGTAAACTTGACAAAAAATATAAATTAGTTACGTATAAAAGACCACGAATTGCACAATTAATTATCATCAAGTTGTCCCAAAGGTAGTGGTTTTGGCAATGGTTTCTCAAGTTCTCTGATTTCTTTGCGAATTTCCTTGGATCTCTGCTTGTCCACAGATTCGATCAATCGTAATTTATGTGCTATTTCTTGCTGTATTATAGGACGATATTTTTTGTCCATTCCGAGGCATTGCATGTCGCTTAAAAATTCCATTCTTTCTTGAATTCCACGCACCACTGAAAATAAAAAAAGAATATATTAGAGCAGAAACATAGTAGTTAGTTTTGCTACTTATACTTACACTCATCGATTGGATCGGAACTATCAAAAAAATTTGGTTCTCGCCTTGCTTTATGAAGAATCCTTGGCCCACGAGGAGTTTCTGGCATATCCTTTCCATACGCCATCATACATGCTAAATGACGCTTTTGCTTCTCTTTATTACCTAAATTTTTACAACGAAAAATTAAATAGGTAATTTTTCATAAAATTTATCATATAAATAACTTCATCTCAAATTAAGAGAATATTAACTTTTAATATTATTTGATTGTGCAAATAATTTTATAAATTACTTCCTTCATTATCACCGAAATTATAATCATGTTATTATTGAGATGTTAAATTAAATCGACGTAAACTTACGTAAAGGAGATGTTCTTCTATATTGTTCCCTTTCATACGCACCACTTTCGATAATCATGTCTTGCGATCGTTTCTTCCAGAGAGTAGGCATCAAAACCTACCACGTATGGATTTTATTAATTTTATTTTCTTTCTTCCCGGTAATCTTAATTCATCAATTTTACCTGGTATTGTAAATTATGCTTGTCCGATTCAACCTTCGATTTTTGCACGCCAACGGGCAAGGATTCACCTTTATTAATCGCTTGCTGAATAGATTTTCTTTTCATCATGCTCACTTTGGATTCTTCCATTAGAACTACGATCGCGAATTCATAAAATGTTAATTCACAAAGAAAGATCAACATAAATTGACATCAGGACAAAAGAATTTATAACAGAAGAATAAAATTCATTAGATTTTCCTTGCGAAGGCAATAACTTGTACAATCTCATATTTGAAATAAATGTAAAAGAAATGATAAAACATTAAAGTTCTGTTTCAAATAAAATGTTTAAAATCTATTTGATTGAAGTTTTTCATAAACTTTGCTTACGTTTGATCAAATTTTTTGTTTCCTCGCTGTATTTTGCTCTGGGTGGGTGGTGAAACGCACCCACTCCCATCTCTACTCTCTGATACTTCCGATCCATTTTTTAACCTCTTACAAAGATCGAATATCACGACAATTAGCACATCGGCATAGTCGAACAGTTGCACACGAACTGTCGTGTCACGTTAAAAAAGACAAGTGCGATACGAACCGCGTCCGTCGCGTTTCTATGACTACTTTGAAAATGATTCAACCTCAATCGAACTAACTTTCGAACTGCGATTCAAACTTCCACGCCATTAACAGACTCAAACGGTATTCATGTCAATATAATAACGAAGTATCGGTGATTTCTATGAGATTGAGGCACTTATGAATTTATTTTAGAACAATACGAACTTTTAATATAAGAATAATATAATACTTATATCTATTGATAAACGGAATCATGTTGTATTTAACATAAAAAGATTTATGGAAGCGAAGATATTATGTATATAATAAAATAAAAATTAAAACAGTGATACTTCATATTTGTCAAAGTGTTCCAAACTATCGGATAAATAATATATTTTAAATAATTTTTCAGTTAATTTAAGGATTTTGTAATCTATAATCTACAAGGGAAATATATCTACAATGGAATACTTAATTTCGTCATTTAATAAGTATAATTTTCGACTATATTTTATAATTAACTGAAGAATATAAAAATTTTCATAATTTGAAAATAGGAAATCGAAAGGGATTGCTATATTTACACTGTAAATTCTAAATGCAGGTATTTGATAATATAAAATAAAAGTATAATTTTCGACTATATTTTATAATTAACTGAAGAATATAAAAATTTTCATAATTTGAAAATAGGAAATCGAAAGGCATTGCTATATTTACACTGTAAATTCTAAATGAAGGTATTTGATAATATAAAATAAAATGTAAATCCGATCTTTAGACAAAATATACCCAATATCTAACGTCAATTAATTTGTTCTGTATAAAGCAGAATATCAATATGTATTATACATACATATATATATATATATAAAATACTGAGTAAATTAATATTATGCCCCACTCAAAACATTCGACACCGTTGCGAATCAATAACATTCGAAACAACATTTTGATACAATTCAGATCTATGGGGGTGAGAAATTAATCATTTTTGCGCAAGTAACAATCAATGATCAATTGGGAACGAATATATGTATGTACCTTGAAGGATGCGACAGTGGATCGGTCTGTGGTGCGCATGTCGTTCAATCTACCGTTAGGGGTTACGTTCCTACCCCTTGGACGAGGTAAACTCGCATTTTGTGCGTCGAACGCACAGAAACGGGCCATCCCTTGCAAATTATCATTGCAAGCCTCGCAAGGGGCTACCAAACTAGGACGATACATCATCGTCCCGAGTTCTTTATTTCTTCATGTGATACTATTTCGTTTGACAATCGGATCTTTCGTTTTCATCTACGCGAGAGACAGTGAAAGTTATTGATTCTTATTGTGGACTACGTTTCAGTGATATTCCGTGCTCCCTTTCCGCGAGGTGAGTAACGACACTTTCCATTCGAAAGCGATGCATCCTCGATTAAATCTGACACTTCCTCTTTCCGTTTTCTTCTCTCCTTTTCCCCTAATCTTTGTGTTATTGTTATCGGTACTGCCATCGAGCTATATGACAGTAGTTTGCACTTCGGTTGCAATCTTCGAGGATTGCATCATTTTCATTTAGAAGATTTTCCCGATTATTTTAGTAAAATTTTATATCTCGTATCATAGTTTCGTTTGATGCTCTACCTGATAACTGGAGGAATTGTTTTTATTACACGTATGATACATAGATTTCAAATAATGTCTTTATTTCTGCTCTTCTTCATTGATGCTTTGAGCTGATGAAAAATTAAAAGATTTGCAGCGACAAGCACCGATAATTATGCTTATTAGAAGGGGAAAAAGATATAGGTCTCACATCTAAAAGTACAAAAGATTATTATTACAAGATTAATTATGAACGTATAATTCTTTTTTTTTTACTTAAATTACTAAAAATTCTTTATTACAGCCTTTTCAATTGTTTTTCGATGTAAATTTTGATCGTTGTTACTTCTTTTCAGGGACAATAATTGTAGAACATTTTGATTACATTAAAAAAAAAGCGACAAAATGAAGGTGGGACTGTTAAAGAATTTCTTGCATTATTTCAATCTGAAACAGGGTACAGTATTAATAGCAGTGTTCCAATTGGTAAATATAATCTATCGTTTAATTGTTATCGCTATGTAACAAACACATAAGAAATGATTACATATTAAATTAATTCATTTTTTAATACAGTTTACATCCGGGTTTAGTATGATATTTTTCGTGCTGGCACTGGCACACGCGATGGGAATTCAAGAAATGGTGGTAAGGGATACCGAAGATGCTCTCGAGAGAGAAGCCTTAGAAGATATATCATCTAATCATCTAAATACTAGGAAAATGGATATGGCGCACCATAACGCAACTGGTGCTTACAATATAATCTTAAAAATATTTTTTATTCTACTACTTTCGTTTAATTATTCATTCAACCTCTTCAGGAATAAATTTATTAAGATGAAGAAAAAAATGATTTATATCTATAGTTGATATATTTATATGAACGTTAAATATTTAATAATTTGTTGTAGCAAAAGTGTAGGTAAATGTTAGAAAATATTTTTAAATAATCGAGAAAAATGATGTACTATATGTGCCGTATCGTATTTTTGTATTTTTCCTGTAAAAAAATTAATTATACATATACGTAAGTATGTGTATATTATCCCTCAAGAGGTTAAAAAGTATTTCGTTTCTTCTTCTGTTTACCTCAGCATTTTCATCAATTCTAAATAAATCTTTTACACGTTTAGAAACGGTATACTCGATGTACTGTGGACTGGTGATCACAGTGATACATTTTATTTCTACTATCCTGCTCCTGTACGGTGCGCTGACGGTAATTACAGTTTACGTAGCCATACGCGAGAATGATTTCGTGATAAAACAAGGCATTTCTTCCGGTAGAGCAATCGTCACTTCATGGCGCCCTGGATGATGGTCATGATGACGATAATATCGGCGCTGACAATTTCTTTGTTCTTGGTAGAACAAGACTGCCCGTTTATTGCTACTCTTGGAGGCAAAGCTGATATCTGTGAACGTAGGTTCATAAACAAAAAAAAAAAAGCAAATATGATAACAAATATCAAACTACGTCCTCACTGATTGCGAGATAATAACGAACAACTTTTCGTTAATGTCGCATGTATCTCGAAAAGCATGCCGTTTGCTGCCTTGAAACAAAACTTGAATGTTCTTCAGATTATGTCGTTTCAGTGAGCGCATAGTTTTAGATTGTCAGATTGGTGCATATGAAATTTTAAAATGACTTCTACACAATTGAATCATTAATTTTAAACTGCAAAATTTTCTCAATACTGCTTTCCATCATGGTATAACATATTGTTTAAGTATTTTAAGAAATAATCATTCGTAAATGCAAAATTAAAAGAATGAGTTATAAATGAGAGATGTGGCAAAATTTTATTTTGTTAAACATGGTATCCATTTAGTAATTTTACTCTTCCGATGAAACAAGATTTCATATGCGCAATCCCAATACATTCACAATATGTCGTCAAAAATTTGAACCATTTCAAAAATTCTATTATTATAGAAAATCATTCTTTTGCAGGTATGATCGTTCTCTTTCTCGTGATCACTAGTTCTTACGTATGGTTCGTCGTGTATAGCACCTACAAGAGTCTCGAAACGAAAAAGGGACTGACTCACATTCTTCACGGTGTGAAGAAAAAGCCTGTCGTTCCGGTTGTACAAAAATCAAAAGCCGTTCAGGCAGACGCAAATAAACCCTACGAGGTTTAAAAATCATTATATGAAGTTATAGAAATAGCGACAAAAAGTCGTATTTATTCGTTACAATGAATGTGAAAGGACGCGCTCGATGACGAGAGGTTTCGTTATCGAAAGATATCCTTCAAATGACAGTGTTTTTTAAACAAATTTTAAAATTACACTCGGTCTGCCAACAAGGCCTACAGATTCAATCTTGTCGTCTAAAGTTTTGTAATTGAAATCAAATCTCAAACGTGTTCCGCCTTTGACGATAATTGAATAGAAGAAAGGCGAATGAGAAAGGTGCGGTACAAACTTATGTTGGAAAAACACTGTGCAACTTATTTCTATACGTAAAACACGATGGAGATGTTTCATTTTAAAAGCTTTTCATTATAAAAGCTCAAAAGAAGTCTGCAGTACAAAAAGCTTGCTTTTATTATTATACGTGTTACTTATTGTTCGTATTTTACGATTAATTGTCAATAAATAGCTTCGCGTTGTTTTTTTTTTTTTTTTTTTTTTAATGATACCTTAAAATTTCGGACAACGCACACAGAAATATACAATTACAATTATTCTTAATGTAAATCTAAACTGCATATCGAAATGCGGCGACGCATATATCGTAATATAATATACATATTTTTCATTTTAATCCGAATGCCATGACAAATCATAAAATCTTTTCAATTTAACAACGATATTAGGTTGAAAAGCTTTAGTTCATATTTGCGTAACATGTATTCTTTCCGTAAGACTGAATTCTAATTATTAATGTTGCATACGATTTTTCATCGAATTTCGCATTATTATACATTAGAAAAAAAGAAAAAAAAATGAACACATCGTTTGCAACTGATCACTATTATTTTATATTTTATTATGAACAAATACAGTGTTTTGTCCCATAATCACTTTTATTTTATATTCGATCTCAACTTCTTTGTCATACTACAATCTTAATATTTTGTGGTAATATTTCAATAATAACAACTAAATGTAGTTATTTCTTGTGTATATGTATATTAAATGTATGAAACCATAAAATAAAGGTTATAAAACTTGATTACGTTATATACGTCCCATTTTTTAATTTGGCTAATTATCAGATACGATCGATAAATAGCCAAATCTCATGATTTTACATTAACTTGACACTTATGACGCAAAATACGGAAAATACAAATTATACTCGAACGCTATATATTTTCTGTAGGGCTGAATAAAACATTTATAATTTTATAAAATAAATATAAAAAAGTACATAATTCGATTACTGAGCGTAATGTGCCACCAAAAATTTCTGAATTACTTTCAGAATAATATTCCTCGTATATCTGCATCTTTAGCTAAAAGACGTTCTTCAATTTAAACGTAAGAAAATTATCTTTTACACCGATACGTTAAGCGGAGCTTTTAAACATTGAGTTCCTCTCTTTGCTTGTAACATTTAAGAACTTATAGTTCCATAAGTAAACATCTCAGAAATAGGCCTTCTAACATTCCTTAAAGTTCTTTTCTTATCATTAATAGTTCCGCACAGTGCACCAACAAATAGTACTTTTCGTTTGGTCCTCTACTATATAATACGACTTCAAACAACACAGTACTCACTTTTCATATAAACTATTTCATGTGATCTCACCCATAGACACTGAAAGCAGAACGTTAAAGAATAATCTTAATATACTTAGGGAACTATAACTTATTAAATGTTAGATATGTATGTACTTTTATTTAATTGCTTAACAAATGGTATAGATATACTTTACCTTTTCTTTATTTTTCAATCACATTTTGTCGTCCGTTAATTCGAGGAACTGTGCATAAAAATCTTTCGTACATTCACCTTTATTGTTAAATACGAATTTATAATAACTACCGTCTGCACATATTACTGTAAAAACAAAAAAAAAAAAGGAATCTGTCATGTAAGAAATCATTATTACATTACATATTACTATTCTGCAATACTGACCTATAATACTATTGTTATCAGTTCCAAATGCACACATACATTGTGGACCACCTGGAACTTGAAATTTACAAAAGCTCCAGCTTGAACTAAAGTATTTTGGCAGAAAAGTAGCAGATGCTAAACTAGATTGACGATTTAATTTTTGATCTTCTACAGCAAAAACGTGTACAGTTCCATGATCACTCGCCACACATAGCCAAGTGGAATCATGATTGAAATTGATGCTGTAATAATATAAATTTGAATAATATCATTTCAGTTATAAAGTATCTCATTTTTATTACCAATAAATGTTTGCATGATTAGCTCCTCTTCTCAACTCATTAATCATATTACCAGTTTGGGTTTCAAATACTCTTATCAAGGTTCCTTTTTCTGAAGCTGTGGCTAATCTAGTACCTTGTAAGTTTAAGGCTATACAAGATAAAGGTGTCTCATGCGCTTCAATATTTAATGGTTGCTTTTCTGTATTAGCCAAATCTATCACTGGAATAAGAATAGATAAAAGTTATTTCATAAATTAACATGAATTAACAATATTATTTAAAATTTTACCTTGAACATGTCCATTCTTCCTACCAGGAAAAGCAAGCAATGAATTACTACTATTTGGACATAAGACACATAAACCTCTGGGATTTGGATTAGTCTCAAACACATGAAGTTGTTGAGGATTTTGCGTAAATGTGTATACTTTTATAACTCCTTCTAAAATTACTACTATCCTATCTCTTCTTAATTTAACACCTTTCACAGGAGCATTAAACTCTAAAGTGATAGCTGGTAATTTCTTAAGATCATCCCATATCATAACTGAAAGTTTTATGTAAAATAGATACTAAATAATCTATTTCTTAAATTCTGAGGTAGAAAAAAATATATAAATACTTTACCTTTATTTGTTGGATACATGGGTTTTGTTCCACTACCAACTAATGCTAAATAATTACATCTGAATAGCATTTCAACATAACCAAGACCTCCATCACTAAAATGACGTACCTTCTCTTTTAAAGGATCACAATTATATACTCTAAAACCATTCTCCATACCACAAGCAAAACATCCTACAAGTGGAAAGATTATATAAACAGTAAAGATATTGTTATCTATTCTCTTATATTATATGGTTATTTTTTTCTTTCAAATTGCAATATAATGTTTGAAATACATGTACTCTTTATTTAATATACACTATATATATTAATTACTTAATGTGTGTATATATATACGTGTGTCTTAATGTAGGCATACAAAAAATTAAGAAGATAAACCACTACAGTTGAATAATTATCATTGAACTCATTATAGAATATCACATGATACGATATATATAAAGGAATAAAAGAGGAAGACATAAAGTACAAAAATAAAATTTCTAACAATTTAGATAAATTCAATAAGTTTAAGTGCAATTTTTTTTCACTGTATACTATGAAAAAACAGATCAATATTATGAATGATATACATAATTATAAGTGGTCAAAATGAAACACAAATAATACAGTTTGGAAGAGAAATTTAAATAATTGAAGTAAAATGAATTGCAGGTATGACTCGTGATTTAAAATATGTTTAATGTGATGTTATCAACGAGAATTTGGAATAATTGTATATGAATGAGGTTAAAGGAAGTTGATAATAAATTCCTTTATTTTAGTCGTTTTAAACATATCAGGATCCGATGAAACATATTTTTCCACTTTAAATTGATATCAATCGTACGAGAAAGTAAAGTCGTGATAAATTTAAACGATGTGAGTTAGACGCAAAGGTTAGGAATAAAAAATAAATTTGACGGTATACGACTGGACTGTCAAATGTGGCACACTCGGTCACATACCTTGATCCTGATTGAAACCAGCGTAAAGCAAACCGTTCCCGTGAGGATTCCCTGTGGTCAAGTTCATTGTAAATCACTTCTTTAATCGCAACATTCGCACAAACGGTCGTTTGGTCGTACAATTCTATCACATCCTCGCCGGCAAGCACATGAGATGCTTTTCGTAATTACGAAGTTCCGTCACCATCTGTCGAGTCTCTACGCATGCGTACTAATCAGCTGATATGCGCTTCACCGGAATAGTTTACATGTAACTATACGCAAAAGATTATATTTAATCGCATAGTGTCCCGATTTTGTTTAAACGATGTTTAACTTCCATTAATTATTTTTTACGTAATAGACGATCGAATAGTACAAAGAATTACAAAAAAATAAGAATTACGATTCATTTGTGTACATGAATTTTGAAGCTCTTCTCTGGCGTTACTTCAGTTAGGTTATATCATGAAGTGCTTTTTTAAAAATCATTTGATCACAAATAATTTACACACTTGCGCTGTATTATTTCGAGAAGTGCCTCGAAATTTGAAAGGGAAGAAGCACAGCTCGCAGTTATGGCTGACGAGACAGTTGCAAGATCCTTATGTGGAGAAGGCTAAGCGGGAAAATTATAGATGTAGAAGTGCGTACAAATTGTTGGAGATTAACGAAAGGTTTAAAATATTGCAGCCAGGGCATGTTGTGATCGATTGCGGCGCTGCTCCTGGTAGTTGGACACAGGTTGCTGTTAAAGCGACAAATGCAAATGCTGTGCAAAAGGATGGTGTTGGGATTGTCATTGGGATAGACAAGCAACCTTTGTATCCAATTGAAAATGCAACGTTATTGGGTGGCATGGACTTTACTGCTGCAGAATCTCAGAATGAACTTTTAAAAATCCTAAATGGCAAGAAGGCTGATGTAATTTTGTCAGATATGGCACCAAATGCAACCGGCGTGAGAGATTTGGATCATGAAAACATAATACAACTTGCATACAGTGCTTTGAAATTTGCTCTGCAAATTACTAAAGGGAACGGAGTGTTTGTTTGTAAGTTATGGGACGGTGGAAAGTCTCAACAATTTGAGAGAGACTTGACAAGATTTTACAAATACGTGAAATGCATAAGGCCGGAAGCAACGAGAGACGAATCTACAGAGAAGTTTCTCGTGGCTCGAGGATTCAAAGGGATAAAAAGTACATCCAGTAGTACAACGTAACATGCAGTTTCTTTAACAATTAAGTTATGTACAATAAAAAATGCTTAATGAATAAAATGATGTGTAACGTAATCGCTCATCATGCCTGGACAGGTTGTAAATAATAACAAAGCATGATATTATCGGCACAGGACCAACATCGAGTGATTTTTATAAGCTGTTCGGTTCTGCGATCTAACAGCTCCTACACGACACGATACGACAATGTGTAATATACATCGATATATTTAGTTATAAATAATACAGTAATATTTTTATACAGTTACAATTAATACAAGTTTAAGACGCTTCTTAATTATGCAATGTATATACAATTTCTCTTAATAAAATTAATATGTACACGAATCAACATTCAAATACAGGAGAAAGAAAGATTACACACCACATCGAAGCATACGTAGAGCAGTAAAAAAGAATTACTGGCCGCGATGTCAGATCCGTAATTTTCGTTTCGTACGTGATGATCACACGTAATCAGATATAATTACATATTTTGTATAAAATCCAAATACTATCTGATGGATAATATATGACGATAATAAAAATTTTTTCACACCGTAGTTGCATGCACTCTACCGCATATTCTCGTACAAAAAGAAGTTATCGTACGTGTGAAAAGTGAGAAAGAGTTATCGCAATAACGGTCATAAAGCGTAAACGACATCGGACAGATGATTCGATTCATACTGTTCCGAGCATTATCTTCGGAACGTTGCGCTTGCATAGAATAATGATCAAATCGCACACCGAAAACATTCATACTACATAGATACGTGTTTTCGCTATACAATGTAGATGTAAGCTTCAACTCAATTACGCTGGAGAGACATAAAGTGTTGCAATTTTCGTAGATATATGCACAACTGTTCATTGTTGTTCCTTTATGTGAAACATAAAAGTAAGAAATGTATATCCGAAAGGAAGATTTTAGAATTTAATGCAACGTTTTCCTTTAATTAGCTTCCGATCTATCTTGACAGGTTTGTGTATTATAATATTTTTGATTGATATACATAACTTGAACTTTAAAAACTAAATTTAAAAAATATTTAAGCTTTTTTAAAGGAAATAGATTTTGTACTTGTTTATTAGAATCCTTATAAGAAAATATCACATTAATAATATAGATACGTTATCGTATTAAATTGTCATTAATTTTTACATAATGTTACTTTTCATTAATCTTCTAAATATTTCTTTAATATTTAAGAATAATTGCGCGTGCACACCTAAACTAATTGAATTTTGAAGAAGATCTCCATCCGAGTAAGATAGAAGCTTTTCACGTCACAATATTGCCTAACTTACAATTCTCTTTCTGTTTTTTTTTTTTTCTTTTTTCACTTCACATATCAAAAGAAAAAAGTTTCAAGAAAGTACAATCGCAACAGTTTATGTTTCTCCGTACGAGAGCAGATACGATGACGCACATGATGGAGCTGTATGGACAATACTTGGTCGCTACCGAGTAGAGCAACGCGCACCTCTTTCGTGAGTTTTATTCGTGACAGAGAGATTCATGATTTCTGTTCTACAAATGTTCTATAAATAAAGCAAATACCGCTAAAATCAGTCTGATTCGATATACCGGGGTCACAGTCATGTTTTCCGTGAGTTCACGAACTCGGATTCCGGTGCATATATACATTGTACACGGGGTATTCGCGAATATCGATCTTTCGTGATTCAAATATTATCGTTAAATACAAATTATATATTGTTATCGTAACCAACACTTTGGTATGTGAATCTTTAATGCCGTGGAAACGTGGTAAGATTTCGATTAACTCTTTGTGACTTTATTTGACTTTATTTATTGTGACTAGATCGCAAAGACTTTATTCGATTTCTTTTGCTTTCATCTTTTTTCAAGTAAATGAATCCTTAGAATTTAGTCGAATTGCCAATCGCTACAATAATATTCCCAATCGAAGCTCTCGAATCTCTAAGAAGTTTAGCCTTGAAAATGTTGGTATACAATGTCACATGTACGCGCCGAAATCCAGATTCACAAACTCGTGAAGAAGACGCTTGCGATCCCGATAGTAGGGGTCAGGTATCATCGATCGTAGTTCCTCCACGAGAGGAAGAGCTGGGTTAAAGAAAAAAATACAACGAAGAACAATACTACAACTGAACAGTCCTACTAGTACTGTTAGCCAATTCTAGTTCTATCTTAGGTGCTATTGAATTCGGTGGCACCGTTGTTGTCGATGAAAGAAGAATTAATATCGGCGACATCTCGGTCGAGTTCGAGACTCGCGACTCTTCGCTCCATAATTCTTGATTGTCGCTGGCGTTCATCGCTTTTGCGTCGGATACATTGAACGATGTGGGAAGTTCGATCGGGATCTTGTAGTCGATCACATCGGAAAAATTCGTGTCGTTTGTGTCGTCAATGAAATCTATTACGGGAACTGCAGTGTCAAGCGTGGACGTAGTATTCTGATCGTCTTCTTCGTATTCTAAAGACTCGTCGAAAATGGTGGTGTTCCCAGTGGTGGCACTGGCCTCGTTATCCTCTTCTTCCTCCTCCGTTTCTTCGCCAATATTCAGTAACTAGCGACAGATAAAATTTTAATTTAGATAGTTTGTTCTAGTGAACGAATGAGAATAACAGATGTTCGACATGTAATAAAAAAAATTTCAATTGTAATTGTACCATACATAATTACATCTACAATGAATAGAGCACAATCGAGATTTCGCTATCAATACGAAGTTTTTCCATTTAAAAAACGAGTTCAAAGGCTATTTTATTTGGTCTCCTTTTCATCAAAATTCTGATGAAACATTGTAAAACAACATTACGCAGTAGTTATGTACTTCAAATAATATCGCGCCTGTACTCATTCTAATTGAAAGAACTTTTTTATTACCTCTTTCGGTTCTTCCATGTCCTTCGTTTCTTCTACGTCCTTCGCTTCTTTGACATTGTTCGCTTCTTCTACGTTACTCATTTCTTCTACGTCCTTCGCTTCTTCTACGTCCTTCACTTCTACGTCCTTCACCTCTTCCATTTCCTTCGGTTCTTCTGCTTTTCTCGGTTTTTCTATTTCCTTTGGTTCTTTCACTTCCTTCGGTTCTTTCTCTTCCTTCGGTTCCTCCACTTCCTTTGAATCTTCCACTTCCTCTGGTATTTCCATTTCGTTCAGTTTTTCTGGCTCCTTCGGTTTTTCCACTTCCTTCGCTTCTTTTACATCCTTCGCTTCTTCCACTTCCTTCACTTCCTCTATCTCTTCGTCCTCCTCCTCGTCTAATTCCTCCTCTATCTCTTCTTCCACCTTCTCTTCCACCTTCTCCACGCGGACCTCCTTTTTCGAAGGGACCACGATCGGTATGTTCATCGAGTCCCTGGTTTCCTCGTGGTCCACTTGCGTCGACTTGGTGTCCGTCTCGGCAAACAGCGGAATGTTCAACTGCAAAGGGCCACTGGACTTTTTTTGATTATTGTTAGACGACGTGTCGGAATTGCTCGCTTGATTACCATATCTGTTGTTCAATCGTTGTAAGAGAAAGCCGATGTGAGCCTGAGGATTGATGTTCACTCTCTTCACGCACCTGCCCATCGTGTCCGCTCGATAACCATCGGGACAGGCCGGTAATACCGGCGCGATGAACACGCTTTTAGGCGTGATCCGTTTGAGAAAACTGGCAGAGTCCAAGCTAGAGTGTGCTCCTGTTTGCGAGTCCAGAAGGAGCCAAGCCTGCCAGGCTAGGTCACTTGGCGAGCCAAGATTCTGTGACCTCGATTCGCTGGAACTTCTCGATAACGTCGACAACGACGAGGAAGATGAGTCTGTGAACCTCTTCACGGACATTGGTTCGCAATACCTAATGAGGCCGGACAAAATAACGATGGCGAGCAGCATCCTCCAGCAAGGATGCCTTTGACGCTGACTTATTACGAGCATGTTCGCGTCTGTCGACGAGGTTTCTTGCCGGATTCGTTCGAGCTATCTTGAAGATTCTCGTCTGAAACCTGCTCGTCACCTTCCCCTCGAACCTTGACGCACCGGAATCGTCTGTAAGTAAAAAAAGAAAAAAAAAATAAGATTGTTAATAGTAGAAAAAAGATTTAGAATCATAATGTAAAGTAAGATTGTTTTTTGTAAGATATGATATAATATAAAATAAAAGTATAAGTATCTTTCGATTTTCAGATATCATTTTTAGTGGAATTTTTATAATTATTTTCGATCGATTATTTTGGAAAGAAACTTCGTATAATATGTCTTCTCATGTTGGAAAAATGTTTTTGTCATCGATGTTTTTAAGAAATATTTTTCAATTGAATTTATAAAAGAACTTCGAATTCTCGGAATAATTAAATACAGAAGAACGAAAGAAGGAAGTATGTAGGTATACCGTGTCACAAGGTTTGCATTCAGCTTCGGTTGTTAGAGAGCTTTCACTTGAGCATTGAATCATCTTCAACCGCCTATGTTAGCCTACTTTTCAACCTTAATAGACGCCACTCGCTTAGATGGCATCTACGCATTCCGGAAACTTACTTAACGAATTACGCGGTTCTGCTCGGAATTCTAGCGAACGGCCCTCAATTGATACCAGAGTTCATTCTGTGATAATGAGTCTTGAGACTCCTTAGAAAAAAATTAACAAATTCTAGAAAGATACGTTTCATTTCCTAAATTTTAGATTTAAGATTTATGATTCTCTAAACTCCGCTCTTGACTCTGGAATTATCAGCTTTACTCAAACAAATGATACACGTACAAATACGTATAACTGTCCAAGACAATTTGGACAATTCAATTGGAAACCATCAGTTTAGCTTTAACAGTACTAACTAAATTTAAAAACTAGCTTCAAACGTTTAGGTTAACACTTAATACATTTTAAATAAGGATAATTACAAAATAAATAGGCTATCGTAACTATATAATTATATTCGACTTTTTACGTTCAAAATTAACACGTGCCCCCATGGCTTATGATAGATGATTCGATATTTGAGAGCATATGCCCACTCCACTCGTAGGCGGTAGAGTTGATCACAGTTTATTTTCCAAAAGCCAGACTTGGACAATAACGTTCATATTCAGTGGCGATTAAAATTTCATTGAACTATATTGTTTTCCAGCTTGCCTGCTCTCTCTCTCTCTCTCTCTCTCTCTCTCTCTCGAATCGAGGAGAGGCTGATGCAGATCGGTTCCATTCTCGGGGAGCGAAACACCGAAAGGAAAGGGTAATTCCATTAGAGTTATTTGTACACGGTGACTGGGTGGATCGATGACTCGTCAGTTTTAAAAGGTATTGCAATGCCCGGCAGCGGTCTTCGTCTGGTGAACGCGATAGAAACTGCACGCCGTGTTCCACCCGGGGAAAAGTGAATGCACGTCGATCTGTTTTTACCGTTATGCAGCCACGCCACGATTATGTCTACGGCTGTGAATAGGCCGGACAAACACGAGATTCAGATTCACGAACGTGTCAGGCATCCTCGATACCTTGAACACGCGAACACACACACACATAAACACAAACACACTGGGAGGAACGTGGGATGGCGCCGCTGGATTTCGTGATCGAAATAAAACACCATTAAGTGGATGATCGATCGAATTTCTCTCCCCTTCCCTCGCAACATCCTTTCTAGTTCTATTACTTTCGTTTTCGCTGCTCCATCGAGTGAAACTGTCGGTCCTGAGGTACGATAGAGATTTATGGTTGCTCGATGAAGAGACAATACGTTTTGCGATTGAAATGACATTTTGCAACGATTTTGTTCTTGTTGATTTGTCGTGCGGAGCGATCAATTTCTCAAGATGAAGAGATTGATGCTTTTGATGGTTGGAAAAGTTCTGTAGAGATCAGAACCGAAAGGAACGGGATTGTCGCAAGTATTTCACATAGTTGGGATAAAGTGAAGAGTGAAATAAAGGGAACGTTACTTCATCATTACTTCGTGACACTGTAAAATATTTTTCTTATTGGTTTGTAGCCTTTTGAGTGTCGCATTACTAACTCATACACGATATCCTTGATCTTTAAATGTATGACGGTATATGACGTTAGGCGCACCAGTTTCTTTTTTTTCTTCTCTCTGTAACGTGTCAACTGATTGTATGCTGATCTTTTTGCAGAAAAATTTTTCTACGATATAAGAAATGCATTTCCAATCGGACAGAATGCAGACAGGTGATAGAAGAATAATACACGATGCAGAAATTAACGTTCTGCACTGATCACCTTCTACGATTCGATACATACACATGCACGTTCTCTTGTCTTGCGACCTTTCTAAATAATGAAAGTTGCATTGAAACAAGGCGTTACAACAAAGCCGAATCAAAGGTCAGATTATGCAAGGAACCTACATTTTCTCTTGTAATCCGTGAATACGGTGAGTTCATTGCGAGATCTTCGAGGTTACGGCTCGGTGTGAGGACACTTAGTGCTTATTGATTCGATTTAATCTCAGTTCTCTGAATTGAGATTATTCCTTATCCGATTCTTATTCTCAATTCTTTGAATTATTAAATTCGACTGAATACTGCACGAATGTTCCTGACATTTGAAATATAAAAACACCCGTTATTAATAATGCATTTTCTTACCAAAAAATGCTCACGTATGCTAAGCAGACTGAAAAAGTGGAAAGAAAAGAATGGAAGAATTGCTTAAACTTTCTTTATTAAATATTTCAAAATACGTTATTATTTTATTAAATGCTTTAGAAAATGTCGAGTTACGCTTTTACGTTAATAATTTCACATACAAGTCATCTCTAATAACTTTTATATTAATAATTTCATACGAGTATATCTCAACACGTTCACTGTCCCGTGATGTACAGCGTTTTGTTCTATCACGTACCGTGTTATCATATGCAATGTTATACATACCAATGTTGTACGTGTACAATCAGTGTTGAATGAATTTTATTGAAAAAGAATATTGCGAAATGAAACTAGTGTGATTTAAAAAAATTTATTCACTGCAAATTATAAAACGCCAAAAGACCTAAACGGGAAACGTGTCGATGCTACTTCACAATGAAATAGAACGTAGGGTTTAGGGCCATTTCACTTTCTCCTTTCTCGAATAACTCGCTTAGCCGCGTTCACAGAAATACATCGTCGATCGGAAACTAATGGCGACTATTAAACACTCGTAAAATTCCGTCAGCAACTATGTAATTCGTCATACCCTAATTCGTCATACTTCCCCTAAATTTCTGTCGCTTTCTTCTACTGAACAAATTTCTCCATCTCTAAACTTTAACTTCTGTCAAGATTAATTCCATTCTATTAGGCACTTTGTGTTTTATATAACTCAAGAGCGAAATTTTTATACGTGACATAAAAATTTCTTGCTGACTACGTCGTGAAATTAAAATTATCTTTGACAAAAAAAGAATGATGTAGAATATATTGAAATACTTTGCTTTGTTTTAGAATGTATTTTCATTTTATTTTACGATGTTTTGGAGCATTTCAGAATGTTCAAAAGGGCATTACTTGAATCAATCACATTAAATTTGCGATAACCGCGCAATATCTTTTTGTTTGACATTCGAATCCAAGTTGAAAGACAAATAGACCAGGGAACCAGGAAGACGAGCATGCATACTTCCAACGTGAGACATCGATAATAATCGCGTTATCGTGGTGACCATTGGCAGAAACATAAAACAGAAGCGTCGATGATAGAACGAACTCGAGAGTGCTTAGGAATTCCTGTTCGAAGATACCGGCAAGTACGTTCCACATTCTTGCACATGATAATCTAAAGACGCGCGTGAAAGAGCTGTGTCTCTATTAAGGGCTATTAAAAGTGTAAGTGTGCTCTAATGATGGAAACTCCTTCTATTTAGCCCTGGTCTCGTGGTGTGCAAGTTCTTTGTTTTCAAGCAAGTAGACTCTTCATTTGATCTTACAGTTTATAGCAGAAATTAAACACAAAAGAATCCTTGCGTTTCTTAACAATTTTTTTAAATTTTCTAACTTTTACTAGCAATTAATTCGTTGTACGTACAAATGTAGCTGTTTGCCTCACGACAGTTGACACAAAGGAGAGTAGTACGAAGTAATTTTGTGAATAAATTTAATACTGGAGCGTCTAATTAATGATCTAACAAAGAACGATATTTCATTAGATGCTGTATGAGATTCATAACAAGTTACATGTATAAATTAATTATAAATTATAAATTAATATATTATTAATAATATTTAGTAATAATAATATTATTAATAATGTAATGTATTGTTAATAATATATAATATATGTATAATGTATTATTAATTATGTGATATATATAAAAATGTATTGCTATTACAAATTAATTGTACATCTTTTAATCCATTTGATCGCTTCAGTGCATTAAGTACTTGGCTGATGGTTTCATGCTCTATATTTTTGTGGTTTTTAAAATTTTGTAAAGTGTTCTCAATAAAAATCAATGGAAAATCAACAGAATTTAACATTAACTATAATATATTAAGAATTGTAATATTAATTGAGCTAAAGATTCGTCTTCTGACCGAAATTTCCAGCTCTTGTCGGATCAGGTTTTTGTTACATCGGGTGACTCACGAGAGGCCGAAAATAACGTCGTAAATTATGCGAACTCGCGTTCGATTTCCGCGTACTTAAAACAAATCAACCTGCAAAAAAAAAAAAAAAAAAAAAAAACGATGATATTGTTCCAGACGATTGCGATCGTACAGTTTACGCACACGATTTGTATATTTTGCACGAAAATCGCGTGACCTACGCATGATCGGTGGAACGTTTACTCATGGAACGTTATCGCCCCCGAGAGAAGGAAAACATCTCTTTAAAAATACTACGATTTCGCCAGCGTACTGCCAGCTCGTGCTTGTTGCAGAACGATTTTCAATTTCCAGACGATCCCTTAATAGAAAATACGTCGTATAAATTTTCTATTCGTGCGTTCATTAAATTGTAAGTACGTAAAGAATTATCGAGAGAATTATATTATTTATATATATATTTATAATATAATTATATTACAATTATATTTTATATAATATTA